CCTCACTTCTTGCATCTGAAGAAGTGAGGTTCTTACCCACGAAAGCTTATGCTCCCAATACTTCTGTTAGTCTTAAAGGTGCCACAGGACCCTCTGTTGCTTTATACAGTTAAATAGAGTGTAAAGAAAAAATTAAGCTTATTTTCAGGAAAGTGGCAACAGACTCTTGATTATGCTATGAATTACAAAATGAACGGTGTAACAAACAAATCTGGAAACCATCAGCAAATTAAGAAAAATGTTTACTGTTCCTGCTCTTGACATCTGTTGCTATGTGCTATTGCTGACAATAGAAATTAATACTCTGCTGCCTGACATTTTGGGTATTGAAGCTTCTGAAACAGTTTAATATCATCTAAACTAAAAAAATTAATAGATGCATTAACAATCAGCACCCAAAAGTCAGAAAAAAACTGCTGTTTGCAAAGGATATAGACACAAGCCAGCTTGCTAGACAAGTTATAATGTTGAAGCATGAAAAAAGTATGCAGCTGCCAACCATGTTACACCCTCAACTTCATTTCACTTTACACCTAGAGGCACCACTTTTTCATTTGACTAAGTTCTATGAATTCATGTGAAGAAGCCACATCATGGAATGCATCCATTTCCCTTTTGACTTGTCATTTTTCCTCCTCTCGTAGTACTTCAGCCAATAGTATTTTTGTACAGTGCTTACAGAAAGTTTCATAGTTTGACCATTTTATATTTCATTACTTATAAAGTAGCTCATGAGCATTCTTGTACCGTTATTACCATTGTCCACAGCTCAGAGCCATTTGTGCTTTAATACATGGCAAGAGTACATTTTATTCACTGTGTACAGTAATGTTCCACTCAATCTCTGGATTTAACTGGGGTCACAAATCCCTCCATCTGTACTGCAGCGGTTTTCTACTGTAGAGCTGCAATATTAGCTTCTTTTCTAAATAAAATGCAAGACACAAGGTCTCAATCTTTTAGAACTGCACTAAAAATAGTTACACATACGTCATAACTCTCCTGCACACTCTTCTTTTAAATGAATGTTAACATTAAAGGGATTGTAGTCCTATTAACTGTGTTTAAGGGATCTACATTTGCATTCTGAGACCCCTGGACTACCAGAGGCTGGCTTCACCCTTATGAGAAGAGCACTGTGTTGCTCTCTAAAGATCACTCTTGTTCATTCTGACATATGGAGCAATGTTGACAGGTTCTGGAGGGAATTAAGTCTTGTGCTCCTGAGCTGAAGGAAGGATTGTAGAGATAATGATATGGACCCTTTTAGGGAAGAGTAAAGAGAAGAAAATTGTGGACTCTTGAGGTGCTCAGACTCCACAACATACACTCTACACAAAAATTAAGCAAACTTTTTTAAAATGGCAAGGTTGGTTTAGTTTATACTAACAACCACCAGAATATTCTGGGTGCACCCACAGCAGGCAATGAAGTATCCATTTTCCAGCACTGGTGCAGCTTTATCCTGCCAGTGACAGTATATTGGGCTCAGGTGTTTTGACCACTCTGCAATGAAAAAAATCACACATTGGTACAAATGCCTGCTTACACTGTTAGCTCTTGTACAGTTTCAGTCTTTCTAGTAAATGGATACTAAACTGTTTAGTGTGTAAAAACCCCAGAACAAAGGCAGTATGTAAGATTACCCTGAACTCATTCTGTTGTGCTTCAGTGCTGTAAATAATATGATCCTCTATCAAACGATCTCAAAACAGAATGTGCTCTTACATAAACAACATACAGGTTCAGGGTGTTCAGAGCAGAGAGGACATCTCTATCTCCCTGCTTGCATCAATTTAAACCAGACACTAAAGTCATTTTGGCAGAGCTTTTGAGCCTCAATGAACACGGATCTAATCTGAGGACTTAATCCACACCACTATCAGCCCAAACAAGGGGGAAGTGGAACAGGCAGATGTCACCAGAACGGCTAAACATCATTTCATTTTGGCATTTCCATAAACTCGTTTCAATTCTTTTACTTCACACAACTATAAAATTGCCCCAGATTTTAAAATATTCAAGACTTTCGTACTTACCATGCTGGGGGAGAGGGCAGGTGTATTACAACGGACAGAGTGCACTGAACAATTTATACCCACACCTCCCTATTAAACCCTGCCACCCAACCACCGCATCCCACTCTGGGTAGCACTGCCCCCAAGTTCGGCCCGTCTCAAGCAGATCCACGGAAGGGTTGCAAACGCTCAAACGACTTACCTAAGTTGGCAGGATGTGCTGGCGCGCAAGGAAGCGCCGCTCTGCGAGCGCTAGAGAAGGAGTCCGACCCCACACGGTATTTAGGGCGCGGAAGGGCAGAACCCAGAGCTGAGCGGGCTGGGGACAGCGGCCATGCAGCCCCAGGGTAGGGGAGGAGGTGGCGGCTGCTGTATGTTGCCTCGGGGGCAGCAAGCAGCGCGCTGGATGTACCTGCTGGTGCCTGAGCCCCTTGCCGGTCTCTGGAGGCGCCGGAGGGCCCCGCCGTGGCTGCTCACTGCCGCCGCCCGCCTGCTGCTCTCTTCCCCAGAGGAGGCTGCCCCGGCTGGGGAGGGGGAGTCGCGACTCGCGCTGCTCCTGGGGCCCGAGAGAGGGGCCCCCTCCTGCCTGCAGGGCGCAGTTGCAGGTCGGCGCGGTGCATGAGGGGCCGGCACTGGGGGGGCGCCTCCTCTTCCCCCCCCACGTGTGTGACTGTGCGCCGGGGGCGGGAGGTAGCCCCGCTCCGGCCTGGGAGGCGCCGCTCGGAGAAGCCGGCACGTACCGAACGATCCGAAAGCAACAGGAGCCCGCCCCGGCGCCCCCGCTCTCGCCTCGGGGCACTGGGACTAAGTGCAAACCTGGTGCAGCAGGGACAGCCCTGGGCTGCCGGTCACATGCGAGTAACAGCTGCACTGCAGGGAGATCTGCTGGGTGCGAGCCGCTTCCTGGCTCCCGGCCCGGTTGTCTGTGCTGGGGGGACGGGGTGTGCGAGAGACAAACCCCAGCTCGTCCTCTCCTCCAGGGACCTTCTGTGCCGGAGCTGCCTAGGCAGCGCCTAGCCCTCCTGAGGGGTGGCCTGCCCCAGCGTGGCCCAGCAGGGGAGAGGCTCATTCACTGGATTCACTTTAAGCAGAGCTGAGGCCTAAGCAGAGCTGGAGGGGAAAACAAGAGGAAACAATTTCGGGGGGAAGGGGATATTGAAAATTTGACGTTTTAATGTTGCAGGGCTCAAAACAGACCAATTTTTGAACCCTCCCACCCCCGAAATTTGTTTTGTTCATATTTTTTAAAATTAAAAAAAAAAAAAGTGTTCTACATGGTTATCAGAACTTTTTGATTTCCCCCAACCAGGTTTTTGGTAAACAAAAAATTTCTACAGCAGTTGTAGCAATATGAATGTTGATTAAAAGTGTTATGAGAAGTAGTATCACACAGAACAATTTGGGGGGGAAATTACAGATTTTTGTGAAAAAAATGTTAAATAAAAGGCCATTTAAAAAAAATATTTTCAACCAGCTCTAGTCCCACCATTAGCAATCCCTTTGGTCCAGTTTGTTGGTTTGGGCCCATCTCTAATTATAAGGTAAGTCTTTAAAAGTACCCCATTGTTCTCTGAAATAAAGTTACTGCTGTCATTCCATTTCTCCAGTGCAGCTATCCACATGACATAAATCACTGCCACAGTTGGCACTGTTTGATTTCCTCCTTACCAGAGAGGCTAAGGTGTGAATGGGCCTGGAGAATGAACTATCCTTTCAATCTCCAAGGTGCTCCTTTCACCCTAGGCTCCAATTCTGAAAAATACTTTGGCCTTGTCCACACTGGCAAGTTTCTATGCTGTAACAAAATTATTCCACCTCTAGGAATGCCACAAGCAATCTCGTGTCGTGGCTGCTACGCGTGGTGAGATCAATGTCAAGCTCCTCTTACCTTTGTAGTTTAAGGAATAACTCCACTGCCACTTGTGACATGTTAGTGAAAGCAAGCAGCATATTGGTCAATAATGCGGGATCTATTCCTGCAGACCGAAGAGGCAGAGCACACAATACATAAACCATTGAAAGATGGTGCCAAACGCAGACGGAAGTACAGGGATTGCTGGGATGCAAAGCAATGCATCACGGTGCATTGGGACAGGACCCAGGATGCCCCACATCCCCCTCCGCCTTCCCACAGATCTTAGCGGCAGAAGAGGAAGAGATGCTCTGTGGGGTAGCTGCCCAGAGTGCACCGCTCTGAATACTACTGCAAGTGTCGCAAGCGTGAACATGCTATTGCACAGGCAGCTGACAGGGTGAACACACAACAGCGGTTTCCCTTCAGCAATCTCTGAGCGGCGCTGTAACTCTGCCAGTGTAGACATACCCTTCCATGTGTACTTAACTTTAAACCTGTGAGTAGTCTTATAGGCAATGGGAGTGCTCACCTGCTTAAAGTTAAGCATGCACATGTTTGCAAGATCAATGCCGTAGGAAACTTTCTGCTGCTGCACTTGTTGTAACTGTTCAGTGAATAGAGGACTCTGATCTAGTAAACTATGAATCAGACACCTTTCATAAGCACTACAGTAACAAAAATTAAGAACTCAATTCTAACTTTGATGCACAGGCTCGTACACATATTTAGGCTTGTGAGATTTAATTTTTTTATAATTTCAATGAATATCAATTTTAAAGCTTTTTGATGTTTATCAATTTAAATTTTCATAGGTGTGCAAAATTATTGGAGGGGGATCAGACAATGGGGGGGTCTGACAATTATTTGATAGTGGTGTGTCTCAGATTTTGCAGTCAGACAGCTCCAATGCCTGTGCTGTGGCCCATACAGTGAAATTAGCAAGATTCTAGTCAGTTTCGTGGCTGCTTTTCAGAGAGCAGCAGCCCTGACAGACACCAGAACTACTCACAGGGGATGAGGAAACAAAATTAGCTGAGGACCGCCCCCCCCTCCCCCCCAGCAGCCAGGAGGCTGGAGAAAGGATAGAGTAAAAGGGACAGCCCCTCAACTTAGAAAGAGAGAGAGAGAGAGCTGCTTTTCCCAATAGGTGGGGGTGAGGAGTTCAAATATATCAGATATCTAATAGCCAGAGGCTGATATGAAAGATGGAGCCATAAACTGAACAGCACCTCAAGTAGAAATCCTAGCTCACTCTTCATCACCAGCAGGAAATGGCAGTGAAGCTAGATTTGGTCTGCGCAGGAGTTCATTTAGGGGGCCCTCCATTGTCTTTCTTATCACCTCTAGCTCATATGCTTAATCCTCTAGCTAGTAGATGTTTGTCAATTTTTCAAGCTCTGATGCAGGGTTTTATAGACCAAAATAAATTCTTTGAATGGCAATTACATTTGCTGTGGTTTAGCAGTCCCATTTTCTTTGGTTTTGGTAACTTTCCCCCCTTCTTTCAATACAAGGTTTTTTGCTAGAGCTAAAGTGAGAGGAAAAACAAAAGCATTCATCTTTATACAGGCAAACAGCTTGAACATTTAAATTCAGGAGCCCATATAAGCAGAGAGAGATGATCTATTTAATATAACCAATCTATCTAGGCTTTTGTATTGTATTTATCAGCATAGTATAGTATCAGTGTAGTATTGAATCATCTCAGAACACAGCTAATTACCCAGAGTAAAGAAATTTGCAATTCACTGTATTAAGAAATAACTGTACAGATATACAAAATTGCACAACTAGTGTACAGGGATTTGCATACTGTACTATTATTGAGAAATAACTCAAGATTGGTTATACAGATTGAAATTTCCAGAACAAGCCCGAGTTAATTGTATGTATGAGAAAACAATATACAGTTAGTGATAGGTAATTAACACATCCCTACACTCTGGCTATGACAATTTTATTTCAGAACATTCTATTTTTTTTAATTAAAAATCATTCAAATTCATCAATATCAACAAATAAATAGCAGTGGCTTTAGAAAGTAATTATTTTCATGTACACCAGTTTAACAATGTACATGAATGCAAGATATAGTGGAGAGATACACAGGTCACAACAAACAGGGCCAAATTCTGCTGTCAGTGGCAACAGTGTAAATCTAGAGTAACTCCATTGATTTCAGTGGAATTACACTGGACTTACACTACTGTAACTAATAACAAAATGTGGTGTTTATGAACTATATACAAGAAAAAGTCGATGGTGAGACTGAATTATTTTAATGAGGAGAAGCATTGTTATAAACATCAGTTTTATTGCTGATAAGAGGAGAACAAATGGCTCACTCATATGAGACAGGAAGTGCTACTGAATAGCAGCGCAGTGAAGCTGCAACTATTTTTTCAGATTCTGCCTTTGCAGCAAAAGAACACTTCAGAAGTGATTTTGCTGTTTACTTCCTATTCTTTCCTCTTTCTTATTGCTGTCACATTTATCTACCTCACAAACAAAGTTTGAGTATATCCACCCTCCTACAGTGAAACATTACAACAATACTAAATAGCACCATTATGCTACAAAAACACATCATTGTATCCGTTTGGTCACAGAATGCCTGTAAAGCAGTGGTTCTCAAACTTTTTTTCCCCGCGGACTTGAAAATTGCTGAGGGTCTCGGCGGACCACTTAACGATCTTTCCAAATGTTGTTGTACCGTTCGCTAACTATTGTAAAGCACTTTGAATAAAAGCGCTATATAAAAAACCCTTAATAATAATTAAAATGTCTTTGTTCTACAAATAAAAGCACACAAACTTACATTTTAATATCAGTAGTCTTGCCTTTCTAATGCGATGGATGTGCCCTCTCTCCCCCACTGCGGCAGCCCCTGAGCTGGGGCTGGGAAGGAGGGGGATCTCCCCCACTGCGGCAGCCCCCGAGCTGGGGCTGGGAAGGAGGGGGTCTCTCCCACCGCAGCAGCCCCTGAACTGGAGCTGGGAGGAGGTGGGTCTCTCCCCCGCCACAGCAGCCACAGAGCCAAGGCTGGGAAGGAGGACCATCTCTCCCCAACACGCAGCCCTGGAGCTGGGGAAAGTCGCCTTTCTCTGGCTGTTGAAGCCCTGCACGTCCCAAATTCCCCCCACCCCTTCTTCTCACCCCACTGCCCTCTCCCACCTACCCCTTATTCCCCCCAAGGCCACCACCTCACCTTACATATGGGTCTTCTCCAGGGTCCAGGTACCTAATTAGTGGAGCAGCGCCTGCACAGCTCCACTAATTAGGTGGGTGGCCCTTCATGCTCTCGTGCGCAGCTGCCCAGGCGCGCATCTTAGAGGGAACTATCCGTGGACCACCTGAACATGTACCACAGGTTGAGAACCTTTCCAGTTTGCTGTAAAGAATAGAAGACAGTTATTGGTGTATCATCTTATTTTCATTATAACAAAAGAGCTTGTGTTGCTATTTCTGGTTTATTTGATGAAAATTTATTTAATACATGTTTAAGGGCCTGATCCAAATCCTACTGAAGTCAATGGGAGACTTTTGATTGACATCAGTAGGCTTTGGATAAATCAGGGGTTCTCAAACTGGGGGTTGGGACCCCTCAGGGGGTCGCAAGGTTATTACATGGGGGGTCACAAGCTGTCAACCTCCACCCCAAACCCTGCTTTGCCTCCAGCATTTATAATGGTGTTAAATATATTAAAAAGTGTTTTTAATTTGTAAGGCGGGGGGGGGGTCGCACTCAGAGGCTTGCTATGTGAGAGTGATCACCAGTAAAAGAGTTTGAGAACCACTGCACTAAATTCTTATCTAATGA